TGAATGGCAACATATGCCTAAGGAGAGGAAAATGGAATAAAGATCTGGGTGTCTACATTTAATCAGATGAACCCCATCCACATGGACTGCCTCAATAACCATGTTTTTAGCTGCAAGTTTTAAATCTACATGGGAAGGACTTGGTATATGGAGCACTTCCTGGGTCTGTGATTTATGCCAAAAATACATCTGCTAAAGAAGCAAAGAAAGCTTTCTTCAATAAAAGAAAGCTTTGAAAGGAAGCTCAGAGAGAGAAGGTGAGATCCATCTCCCTGCCTTGGCAGAAAGGAGAAAAACAAGCAAGCATCACAGCTGCTTTACTCCTTTCCACCTTATCCACCTGGCCTCATCCAGGGGCACAAGGAGGCACAGAGCACCTGTGATCCTCAGCAATATGGGTTGGCTACTTCATGGTGCAAGCATGCTTGCAACAGGATCCACATCAGCACGTTCTCTAAGAAGAGCTGCAGAAACAGCAAAGCTGGTTTGTACAAGTCCCTCATAATTGTAATGTGTGAGTATCTCAGAATGTTTAGCAGGTTTATCTTTACATTTCCATGAGATAGGATAACTCCATGTTTTCCTGCCTCTTTCATTACAGTCATCTGTTGCTGTAAAATTGTCAGAGATATCAGTACAAGCTCTTAAAACAGGAACACCCCAAGTGTTCAAGAACCTGCCTGAGCACTCGAACTGTTCAAGAAAGGACATCAGAAGATATTGATGCTTTAGATAAAAACAATTAAAAAGAACAAATCCAAAACACTACATTACATAGTACTCCTTCTTGTGATGGAATGCCTCACACGACATTAAAAAAAAAAAAAAAAAAAATTGAATTTTGAATTCATTGTCACATTCTTTTCATTTTAAAATTTGGAAAAATCCTTTTTGTTTAGAACTCAGCACGAACAGCTAGAAAGAGTCATAATTAATAAAGCAAGGTAAAAAAATGCATGTTACATTAAGTAACTGTTTTTCAGACAGAGGGATTTGTGAACTACGGCAGCAGAGGGATTGATCTATATTTGTAATCTTTCCCAATTTTAGCAAGCATTAAAAATTAAAGCTGTGATCATACTGATTGGAACAGCAGGTTTAAAATATTTCAGTGTCAATTTCAGTATGATAATTAGGACTAAAGCTAAATAAATACTTCATTCTATTAGCCTAAACCTAGAGCCTTAGATACTCAACGATACTCGCAGACTAGCCACTGAAATTGAGGGAGCAATGAATGATTTTTTGTCTGATATTTCTGTTTATCCTGACTTGCCCTGCCTCTATCACTCACTACAGACTGACAGGCAACTCCCATCACCAGGCAGCTGGCAAATGAAGTCTGCTTTTACATGGGTTTTGGCCAAATTTGGAAGCAGCTCTAAGCACAGGCTACAAAGAACCTGAAATACAGGCACGATTTTACTTCAGATCTGAGAAGCGCAGACTCAGTGGGACGATACTGGAACACTGCACACTGGCAGAACAAAAAGGATTCATCTTTGCTGTTGTTTATAGGAATATATTGTGGTAAATTAGCTACTGAAAGGTTTCTTGGTTTTTCCCTGAATGAACAAAAACCTGCCAAAAAGCACAAGGAAATAACCAGAAATGGCCAGAACTCAAATTTAATAGTTAAGAACAAAAGAAATCTTTCCATTAGTTTACCTTAATAACCATGAGTACAGGATTTCCTGTGATAATAAACTACTAGGCAGCATTTAATAAAAAAACCTACTATAAATGTGATCGAGAAAATAAAATACATGTTACATTTGAAGAGAATTAAAAACATCACTAGCACTATGCCTTCTCCCTCTTACTGGAAGATACTGACACTGTAAGATAAGGGAAAGGTATTTTAGCTTGGCTCCCTATAAAAACAGCCACAAGGTCAGACATAAAAGGGGCCAAGTTAGAGAGAGCACAAGTTGAATTAATTAAACCCCTTCTCTTTTCTCAAAACCTGATCTCCCGTGATTTAGAAAGTCCAGAAAGGAGGAGATGGGTGTATTTTTCATATATTTTTCAAAATCATTCTTTTCTCTATCTATTTTTACGTTCTTCAGCTAGATATAGAAGTCTGTCATTATCCTGCAATAAGAGACAAAGCCTTTCAGAAAAGGAAACACAATTTGAAAGAAATAAAAAGTAACTTCAGAATGAATACACATGTATATGTGGCTATAGTTAGCACAATTTTGAATACTTATTAACAAAATCAAATTACCTTAGATGCTTTCCTTGCCACATATGGTAAATTTTTAGTTTTGTGACTGAAGACTTTTAATATTTTATCTGAGTATTAACAGACTATAACTTCAGCTCCAACCTACAGTGATTATTTATTGTCCTACCACTTGTACCACAGAGCACGTTAGCTGCATCTCAAATCCCTAGTATAATAGGATGATGCAATACAGATATTTCAATCCTACAAGCAAAACAGCACAATTCTGTTACACAGAAAGGTAAATAAGAACTGTGGAGGAGTCTTTCTGGGTCTTAGGTTACATTACTTATTATAGAAGCAGGCAGCCATATTGTAAACTGATCATGATCCATTTAAAATTTTGTTAGGGCTTTTGGCTTGGGAATTTTTGCCTTTACCAGTCCTACTGGTAGGTTATTCCAGAAGCTCACCATTTTGGTAGTCAGACATCTTCCAGTCTCCAGCATCAATTTATTCATTGCCAGATTACACTGCCCTGTGCTCTCCTTTTTCCCATAATCCAGTTGAAACTGATGAGATTAACAAATTAATAAAGCAAATTGGAAATTCATGCATTACAATATTTTCTAAAGAACTTAAACCCCGTGTTTAGATAATTAGTTTTTTTCCCAGACACTGAACACATATTCAAACTATTTTCACAGACTATTGGTGATTGGATTTGTGCCAAAGCACAAGAATAAAGCCTCCTATTTAATGTTGTAATTATAACTTTGTAAATACAGTCTTGCAAAATGAAAAGAAAAAAAAGCAATGCTTTTATCAATTTAATTCCATCAATACTATGCCTATTAAGAAAACACAATCATAGCAAGCATTTTGATACACATTTCTTATTACCACAGAAGATGTTCATTTGTATAACACTGTATGCAGATAAACCACCTGCACATCCAAGATCGTAAATTCACCTAATTACTGCCCCATCAATTGCATATGGCTAAAACACATGTCCAAGGGAGATATGCATCCTTGATCAGAAATGTCAGGAAATGGGGAATCCAGCTTGCTCCAGTGATTAAACTAAAAAAGTACATTAATTCTATTCTGAAGTGTCTCACCTTAATTAACTGTTCAAAAATAAAAGGACATTGTTTCCATAGTTCAACTTTTGTTTCAAGGTTATTCTTTGTTTTGATTCCTCCTGAATTAAAAGACACCCACTATAGTACATTTTCTGCCTGTGTATTTCAACTTCACAAACTCACTACTTCACTGTTTACGTATCTAAAGTCACTTACACACTTTTCGCCATAGGTTTGCACTGGACGTTCATGTAAAAAAGACCCCTTTAGCACAAAGTGCAGTTTCTCTCTCAAGTCACCAGTAATCATTCAAGATCGTTGTGCTCTGACATGTATTAAGTCTTCCTAGAGGCACTATATTTGGTTGCAGTAAAATGCATTTTGTTTGAACCAATTCAGTTAACAGATCACTGTATTGGACAGTCTGACATAACCGTTATCTATCATTTCACCAGTCTTTATTCCATCTGCTCCCCAAAACTGATTAATCATTTGCAAAAAGTGCAATCACATCATCTGCTTTTTTTCAACCAGATTCTGCTACCAGATTCTTACTCAGGCTGAGTTAGACTGTCTTTAAGAACATATGTTACTGTTCCCAGCAAGATGCTATATTGTGCAAATAAGTCTGACAGAGTCTGGCCCTCGACAGGGAAAGAATATCTTGCTTTTATTTTTTCAGAGTGATTCCATTTCTAACAAATTCACCTGTATCTCTCAAATAAATAGATACAGACAGAGATTAGGAAAAAAAAAATACACCTAACTCTTCAGTTTGATTCACTGAAGCCCAGTATAATAAAATGATGCAAAACTATGCTCATGTTCAAAACATGAACAGTGTGGGTATCGGTGTGTATGACTATATTTTCTTGGAAGCTACATTTCTATCAATTTCTACCACTTACTTCAGAAATTATGTAAACGGTTTCACAACTGACAATAAATATTTGAACCAAGGAAAATTATTCCTGCTCTTCAAAGTTACTTTTATCCTTCTATTCCAGACAAAAAAAAAAAAAAACAAAAAAAAAAAAAAACCCACAAACAAACACCTTCTATTGAGGAATAAAAATTTAAAAATCCCAAAAATCTTATCTTTTGAAATGCAGCATGTCAAACTTATGGTTAGCATATATCACCTCCCAGTGAAAAATGCAGGTTAATATGTACGTAGCTCTTAGGATAGCTCAGGAAGGTGGTTACTGGTTAAATACTGCCACTGAGTCAGCTCTAAAAGTTTGATTAGGAAGGATATTATGCTTCTGAACTACTTCCTATATAAGCCACTTCTCACACTGTAAAGGAAATAAGAGGAGAAAAATCCTCTTACTACCAGCTAAGAGATGAACAAACAACCACTCACACCCAGAAATGTGTGATGGTGGAAGTCTTTTTAGTATACTTCAGACAGTAATTCTAATATATTACAACAGGGGGGTTGTTTGCCATTCTTTAATCAATTATGATTTCATGTTTTCCCAGGAAACATTTATACTCATTATCCAATTTGTTTCTCATTTATGTACAGTTTTCCAAATTTACAGCTTACAGTCACAGTGAGCTGTGAATTACAGTTTTGTTTTGTTCTATGGTATTTTTTATGGTCTAGAAATCATGGATGATTCAATCAAATCACACAGTTCTTTACACAGAAAAATTAGGGCATACAGATTTTCACATTCTAATTCTCTCTGTCCATCTGCTCTAAAGAAGAAAGAAAAATGATCTGTGGCATTTACCTGTAGAAGGCTGGAGGAGCAGCTTCCCTCATCCCAAAGCTGCCCTGTTCGTTTTCAAGGTAGTAGGGTACCTGTTGGCTGTGGTGGTGGATGAAGGGTGAGAGCTGGGGCGCCGTTTGCAAGAACACCACCGGGCTTGGTGGGACATTGTTCAGGGAGTGAAATCCCGCCAGACTGCTGGACCCAAAAGATTCAGAAGTTGGGGCATAACTGAGGGTAGTAGAGCTGTACACTGGAGCTGTAGTACCGAAATCATAAGTGGCCCCTTCTGGGTAGTTAAAAACTCCTGTCTTGTTGCTTTCCACGTACATGTCGCTGAGTGATCTTTCCAGGGGAATCTTCAGCTGAGGTCTGCTCAGTGTCTCCAGTTCAGTGCCTTGAATCTGGTGCAGCAGGGTAACTCCAGAGGTTTTGGTGTGAAGGGTCATGGTCAGTGCTAATGGCAGTAAGCAAGGAACATATCTGCTTTTACTGTCAACAGCGAGATCGGCAGCTGGCAGTCCACCTAAAAAAAATACCAGAACTTATTCTGAGGCTCAGCCGAAATCATAATAAAGCAGCACTACACAGGTATTCCTCTAATCTCGGCAAGGAGGAGGATACAAACAAATGCAGAGTGAGCCCTGAAAACACACATTCTCTCTCTCCCTCCCTCTCTCTAACTTTTAGGAACTCCTCATCTACGCTAATATGCATTACAAGGTGCTGGCTACGAGCCAGGAACTCTTGCCTTGTGTCGACGTTGGTTTAAATATCACTTCAGGAACAATTAGGTTTGGAGTCATACCAAATAATTGTCCCACTAAATGTTGCTTCATTCTTACTAGTCATTTGATTTTTCACTTCAGAGTAGCCAGTGCTCCACAGCAACTAACGGGAAAGAACAGTTAAATCCAACCAGGAAGAGTAGTCCAGTGGCCAGGCAGATTACTGCCTTTTATTTCCTCAGCAGGCTCCAATCTATCTGTGCTTATCTCTCCTCCTGTTTGATTCATTTTCATGTTTGCTAGAAATATGTAATGTGTACATTGTAATGACCCTGGCTAGGACTAAGCTGTAACTGAGATATGGCAAAGCAGAATGTGTGTGTGCAAGCGTGTGTGTGCATGTGTGTAACGAGCCTCGGTCAATAAAACTAGCTAAAAATGAAGGGTGTAGGATATAAATATAGAAGAAAAGGTTTATAATATACTTGCATCAGTCATAGCAACTTGAAGTTGATAGAGTGTAATAGCAACAGTAACAAGTGAGGAAAAACTTTAGATTAGCCTAGCAATTTCTGTCTGCTTCTTTTTAGGCTGTAAAATGAAGAAACAAAGCATCATTCAGACTTTGACACAGTAAGATCCTGAAAACTAGGAAAAAATTATTTGATTGCATGACATGTGAATTGAATACAGGAAATTCTTTTTTCCTAGTCTTGTGAACAAAACTCTGCAAACTTGAGTTTTGAAATCAGACTAGAAATTCAAGTGATCTAAAATAATAAAATGGGATTGGCTTTAAAATAAACTGAAATGCCTCTTAAAGTTATATTTAGGGGAAAAAAAAAGGGAAGAGACAGAACATAATGAAAAAGTGTGGCAGGCATGCTTCATCTTGCAATCTCATTCCATGTAATTTTAACTTAGCACAAACCAGTTCTCCTGAACCAGCTAAATGAAAACCTCCAATAAATGTCTCAAGCTCTCTAGCTTTACTGCTGTGGTCTGTGGTTCAGTCAGTGAAACAGGCTAATCCCAACCCTAAACACATTAATATATGGGCTCTGGTTAGTATGATTTGAATACTAGGAAAGTTTATGCTATACTTAAACAATACCACAGTTATTCAGTTCAACCTTCAAAAAACCCAAGCAAACGAAAAACTGAAAATGCAAGTCACTAATATTTTCAAGAAAAGTTTATGAATAATGGTTTTATTTTCATATCAGTACTATGTTTTCAGAACTTCTACTAAAATAGACAAAGTTATTTATATTTGCAAGATTATTCTGAAGCATTATAAATTTGTACCTCCACAGGCACACAGCTAAGACAGCAGCACACACACAAATATGTGCTTGATAGATTTCCTCACCCACCCAGCCACCCTCCCTACCCTGTTCAAATTTCAGATTGTAGACTTTGATCAAAGAGATAAGCTTGTTTAAATAACACTGGACTAAACATGTTCCCAGTTAAAAGAATAATAATCAGACAATCATACCCAGCAGTTCAGAAAGTCTTCGAAGAGTTATTCTGAAAATATGCCAGACAGTGTGAGAGAAAAAAAAGAAAGTGTGTCCATGTTTGCATAGAGTGGGCGAATGTGCATCTGCAGACTCACAAAACAGCAAGCAAGCATAGCTCTCAGCGGCCAGTCTGCTGGGCTACACAGACTGAAATGAATGGCAGTTACGAGTTTAAGGCCAGTCACTCTTATAGATTTCATTTTGTGCTTCGATAAAACACAGAAAAAGCATTATCTTGTATTAAACTGCATAATCTGAGAATTAATGTGAATCTTCCTGCCATAAGAAGTACCTACTTCTATAATGTGCTTCAAAATGGACCTTACATTTTTATTTAAAGCATTATCCAGCGTGGATGTTATTTTAGAATTACTGTATTGACATGCAATAAAATGCTCCAGCATAATAGCTATGCAGAGGATGGAAGATATAAGTGTGCACACAGAGAGGTGACTACTCAGTGCACCCTGTGCAACCTCAGTGCTCCTTACATGCAGTTTTTAAAAACCTCAGTCATTGTTTTGGAATGCCTGTGTGTTTCCAGGGAGACAAATATTTGAAATTTCCATCATATACAAACAGCATTAAAACACACTGTAGGGTTAAGTAAAAGCACCATCACTTATACTCCATCCCATTCAAACTAGGGACCCTATGAGCAGCTTTCCACAAGCCAGTGGGAAAAGTTACAGTCCTGCTCCCTAAAAGGGCTCATCAATACACAGCTGTAGTATCCCTGCAGCACACAGCCTGGTACACATCTCGGAAGAAAAAATGTGAGTGCCACCAACAGGATACTAGGGGCTAGCTAGGAATCTCTGTGATAGCATCCTGTAACGTTTGTCTCACTTCTTCTGTGGAAGAAGAGCGAGAGCAAGAAAGGGCAAGAGTGAGGCAAGGGGCTGGTCAAGTCGAATCCCAGAAAGGTGAATTTTTGATTTGTGTATACTGCATAAAATCTACTTTTTTATTCTGCATCCTATATGTGGGATTTTTAGACACAAAAAAAGCTGTGAAATACAACAAATTATCAGAGGAGGTTACTTTTCTTGACCTGCATGGTGATGACTATCCTTCCTGCTCCAAATTAACACATGCTGCAAATTCATCCTGCTTTAGAGATGGTGTTAGATGTGTCTGCTGGTGGGCTTGCCTCCCAGGAAAATGAGACTTCACTTTCCAAAACCTGATCTTTGTGTTTAAAGGCCAGGACTTACTCCATCACCCAGTTTAATCATGCTGATCTATTAGATGTCAGGTTTTACATGTTATGAGCACAATATGAAAGTATGTACAGAATACAGCAATAATACTTGTTACTTTTTACCGGTGGGCGTGAAATCTATGCAAAAACCTGGTTTCACTAAATCCCACTTCATGTATGCCTTAAAAATATGCCAATCTCATAAACAAGGGCTTGCCTCCTTCACTGTGTAAAAACTCACATGTAGTAACGACAGAGAATAAATAAAAACATGAGTTGGCTGCAGCATCTTCATTTCCACTGCTAGACAGAAATGTTCAAAAATACTGAGTCAATGGAAAATCTGCCTTTTGAAATCTGATAATTTCTCCACTAATGTGTATTCAGCTGCAATCAAGCTGCTCTATGTATTTGTCTCATATTAATAAAGGCTTAATATTGTTTTGGAGTTACTGAGCACGTACTACAGGAGAAAGCCCTCTATCCCAGTCTTCCTCAGACACCCCTAAAAAACAGAGGAAAAATTTTTCTACAAATTCTGAAGATTTACTAAACTTATTACAGGTATAGATAGGCTTTTTTGCTATATTTCTGAAGTTCGGGAAGATACAAATAAAATTAATACTAGTTTTGATACAGCTACATTTATGGATACATGATATGCATATGTTAATGTAGGGAAGAAACAGGAAGGAAAGTGAGAACAGCAATTAATGAATACTGAAGAATCAGCAGGGGACAGTCCACCGTGACCGAGGATCACTGCAGACACGTTGGCAAGGAGGCTCAAAGCAGAAATTGGTTCTTCATACATAGTGACGTGTTCCCCTTTTTAAAATCTCAACATTTCTATTTTCTTTTTTAGATATGCCAGAAATCCAGTGTCCAACTCAGATTTTCCAGAGTGAGGAATTTACTCTAATTACACTAATAAAAATCACAAATGTAGTAACATTAAAACTAAATCACATTTCTGTGACTCTGTGATTTAATTAGCATTACTTACAGCTGAAGAATATTTAGATATGTTTCTAAATACAAATTCTGCGCATTTAACTCATTGATGAACAGTTTGCTTCCAGTTTTTACATTTCTGTCTTTTTTCTTTTTCTTTGTGTTTTTTTAGGGTGTTTTTTTGTTTGGTTGGTTTTTGGTTTTGGGTTTTTTTTTTTTACAAATGACTAGAGTGATCAGATTAAATGAGCAGAGTTGTGCACAGTGCACTTTGGTTCAGCCGGACCATCAGTCCAACATCCTTACCAGCTACAAACAGGAGGGTACTGAATCAAATTCAGGATTCTTACCGTAACAGACTACACAAGCATATTTTCACTTCAAAATTGCAATGTAAAAAGATAAGCAGCTTCCTTCAATTGATTACAAATAATGATGTGGCACCAGCAAAATGGACTCAGAAACAGAAAAAAGGAAAAGGATAGATTAAAAAATATAGAAAATATAAACTCTTAACTTATTTAAATAACCAAAAAAAGGTTTGGGGATCTCCAGTGCCATCAGCGATCTTTTGTTAACTAAAAATCCTGAAAGCCAGTTAGGGAACAGTAACGAAAGAGTTCAGTTTATAGGGAGAAAAAAAAAAAAGAAAAAGAAAAGGAGGAAGAAACAGCCTCAACAGATTCTTGATTCTGGACAAGATAAAATAGCAGTTTGAGGGAAAAGGAGATGAAAGTAAAAACACAACACAAAGATTATTCAAATTATAGGAATCTTTAAAGATAGCTGAACTAATGCCATAATGGGCTCTTTTCAGCACTAGTTTTAGTAAGTATTCCAACAAAAAACGGTAAACTCAGAACTTAGAACATATACTGCAAATTTTCCATAAACCTGCTGACAGTGAAAGACCATAAACTTCGTCGCTTTGGTTCCACAGCTATAAAGATAGAAGCTTTTTTTAGCTGCTGCAATTAAAGAAGAATCTATTGCACATAACAGGAGGAACATTATGTTTTTCCAAGATTCCACTGTAACATTACAGAGAAATTATGTTGTGTTTAGTCCAGTGAGGAAACTCCTCAATATAGACAGCTGGAGAACAGCACCATCT